CACACACACACACACACACACACACACACACACACACACACACACACCACACTGCAGGTGTCCACATCACACACACATACACACATTATTTTGCATTATTAACATGCAAATGAAAAGCTCATTATGCTATTGTAACCAAACCTGCACCTTTAATCACCTCTTGAGAAACGTGACGCGAACACCAATTCACGACTTATCTCACAATGTTCTCCCCGGACCGTCCGCATCAGAACCAGTCGCCATGAAAATAAAAAGTTGACATAAAATTGCCCCGAGTCAGCAACGCACTTTTCTTGTTTCTATTTCTCACTACTTTTACTTCGTATTTCTTTTCATGAATCACACAAATTTCCAGCTCAATCTGCGGCTTAAGTGCCATGCTGTTACGTCAGCAGGCATAGAAGCTCTCACACACACACACACACATACCTGCAGCAATGACACAAGAAATAAGAAACCTCTGCTTCAATACAAAAACACAACGAATGAATGAAGACAAGAAAGGTGTCTTCAGCAGTCCTTTTACACTGTTTAGGCAGACCACGCTGTGTTTTAGTGCCAACACTAAAACAGCCCTGGAAATATATCAGTACATGAGGAGGATCAATAACAGAGGAATTGGATTTTCGACAGTGGAAAGCTGAAGCTTAATAACCACACAATCATAAATCTCGATGACAAGGTGAGTTACGATGAGAAATGTCCAGAAGCTCCACAAATGTATCAAAGCAGAAAGGAGGAGCACAACACAAACACTGTACATGTCGCTGCCTATGACTCATAAACAATAAGCTGTAACATTTGGATAAATTGACTCAAATGTAGGTTAGAGGTAAGTAGCCTGGATTCAGAAAACGAGGTCAAAGCTATTACCATCTATCAAAATCTCATTAAATGTCTTTAAGGACAACAAATCAAAGTGCGTTTTTTTTTTATTTTATTCTTTAATCAGAGAATGTGCAGCATAATCTGTTCAGCCCACAGCAGTACATTTTGTGCAACCCTATTTCCTTCATTCAGGAAGTACCTCTGACACAGCAGACTGTGACTTATGGGAACTAAGCGGATTGCCAAGAAAACAGAGACTTGACAGGGAATCAAGCGAACCCTTCACCGTGAACTGTCAAGAGAATGTAAAGTAGGGAGCGGGTGAGCCGAGTTCAGCCATCCACTGACGTGATTCAGATCTCTTAAGGATTATAAATACAAACGCAGATCTGCAGTAGTCCTGCTGACAGAGACATTACACTCTCAGGTCTCGGGACACGGAGAAAACTACATTTTAAAAAATGTGTAATATCTGCAGGAAAAGATGCCCGAGTTAATCTGTATCTGAATTCTGCTTTGTCGGCAGATGCTCCAAAAGAGGAAAAGTGCTGCCTATTCGAGAGGCGCAAAGTACTGTGGAGGCCAGAAATAGCTCCGGTCAGGTAAGCATGAATGATGTAACAGGAACAGGAAGAGGGCTCTCTGCCAAGTCTCGTAGTCTACGACACTGACAGCCGCAGCCGGTGTTTATGAATGAATAACGCTCAGGGTCCTAATGACACCCGGGACTGACTCAGTGCAGGGAGGCTCAGTGGGCGGGAACTGGGTCGGGATGAGTTGGGGAAGCATCCATAATGGGCCTGGTGTTGAAAAGGTGACTTTCAAACCCCCCTTCATTTTCATTTTGTCTCCATCTACACGTCTGGAACTCAAGCATACCTCCACACACTCATTTACTGACCAGGGCTCGATCGGATTTAGAGCCTAAAGGATTAGTGCGTTAATCAATTAGGTGATCAACAGAAGAGTTGTCGAGCAAAACTACAAATATTCTGTTTCCTTGTACTTCAATGTGAGTTTTTTTTGATAGTGAAAAATCCTAAACACACTTCAAGTTGCAGTAAAATTGCAAAGCAAAACCTCGCTAGTTGTCATCCCTGTATGTTTCAATGAGTTAACACAACACTCAAGTTGTTTTTGCAATTATGCTGATTCAACCTCTATGTGTTCAACGCAAGCCTAAAACGCCCTGGAGGACCCCAGAATCCGTTTTAGACCCCCCCTCAACGTGGGTTGTCTATTCCCTGATCACTGTGTGAAGCTGGAGGTGGTGCCACTTTATGAGCAACCACAGCAGATGCTTATTCATCGAGTGTCAGCATCAAGGAAGGGTGACGCATCGCTTCAAGGGGGGGGGGAGGACGTTGAGAAGAGACCAGCATCTCCATCCGACTACAAGTATTCCCTCACGACTACAGCGGAGCGGCAGAGCGGAGGCGGCGGTGCGGCAGCGGCAGCAGCATCAGCATCAGCGGCAGCAGGGGCTTTTCCTCGTCCTCCACCTCCTTTGACTGCCCACACATGAATGAACACAGCAGATGACACTCAAACACACCCACAACAGTAAGGGGAGGGGAACAGCGGTTCTCCTCCTTACATGAAGACATTAATAAAGTCCTCGTTCACACAAGGAATCTTTGTATGAGTAAATAAACAAAATGCCATTCAGCAACAGTACCGTGAAAAGTCTCCCAGTGGCATCCCCCCTGCTGTGCTGTCCGTTGAGACTATAGCTCCGGTGTGATTTAATGATTGATCAGCACAACCCGCTCTGCTAACGTCACACGGACTTTTCTACGGAGCCGGTCGCCCGCAGGGCTCTGTCAGACAACCGGTGCAGCTAAACCTGGAGGAAGTGACAGCTGAATAGCATCTAACGGAGGGTCTCGTTACCCCTTTAATCTCCTCTCTTACCTCCCACACATAGCAGGGACATCTCTGGTAGCGGTGTGAGCGTCCCCGGCTGTCCTCTACTGAGAGCTCCGTGATTTGTTTGGTTAGTCCGTTCGTCTCTTGGTTACAAAAAAAAAAAACACCTTTACCCGCCCAACCGTTACCCTAAATGGTACCGGAAGCCAATTAGTATCATGTCAGAACCGCTCGTCCCTCGCGCTGCAGAACCGTTGCTCTTTTGACAGGACAAGACACAAGAGAGTGAAATCCTCGCCCCCCTCTTCTTCCTCCTCTGCATTGCCTCAGCTCTCCTCTGCTCCTCCTGCGCGCACAGCCATCTTGTTTCAGCAGCAGCAGCAGCAGCACCCTCCGCGCGAGGACAGTTCCCCCGCGCCGCCCTGACGTCACGGTTGATGAGAAGCAGGCGGAGAGAGAAAGGGGGGGCTCGCGGTGGGGTGACCGCGAGGAGACACAGACGGGATGGGGCTGAATTAATACCGGCCTGGCCGGTCTGGTGCACTCAATGATGGCTTCAAGGAATTTCATTCATTGTTTTCAAAGTTACAAAGCATTTTAGAAAAAGTTGTTTTTTTATCTAATATACCCAGCTTTGTCAACTTAATTTAATGTATTATTGTATTTATTCAATTACACTTTACATCTCTGCAATCAATTCACATTTTAACTGCATGTCAACACATGTTTGACCGGAATATATAATAATAGCCAGGGCCAAACACATTCTGATTCTTAATAATGCTTGAGGTCATGAGTCCTAATCCCCCATTTTTCAAATTACATATTTATTTCCCATACGACGGACTAAATCTTCTTTCTGAGCCTCATTCTACCAGGGATAACATTATTATAGGGTGGATTATTTTAGATTGATCTGCAGGTAATACGATTCAATTAAACTACTGGAATCAGCCTACGTGAACCAAATTATGTAGTTGTAATTGTAGAATGTAAAGTCCCCTCACGTTCCCAGAAAAAAATACAGAGTACATGACCTCATTGTTCTTACAGTCCTGAAAATAATAATATTAAGTAATGTCTGTTGACTTGCTGTGTATTAAGTGTAGCCTAATATTTACCCACCAAAGATTGCAGTTTCCACAAATATTACAACATAGATCTCATGGAAAGTATATGGAAGATAAGGAAAATAGTATTTATTATTTTTTTATGTTTCAAAGTAATTTGTTGGCTTAATAAGGCAAGCAGTAATTTGTAATATGTTTGCTAGAACCAAAGTCTCAGTGAAATTTTGCACGCTTTCTGTTGAAGAAATGTAGGTGAACTGGGATAAAAGAGTTGCTTGTTTCATGCAATCCTATACTTGTATTCTTATATTTTGTTAAGTCAACTAGAACACCTTCAAAATATTTGTTTTTTAACAATAGCTGGGGAGATTGCTGCTGCAGCTGCAATAACATGCATATAAGCCACTTTCATATATTAATTGACAGTCAGCATTGATGATGATATGGTATCATGGAATCATTGGTAGCACGCTGGGTCAAAGATTTACATTGTTCCTTTATCAAAGGCATCCTGAGTTGAAATGTGATCTGGCCAGTTGTGCCCAATGAATGCACTTGGGAGAGTTATGGGCCGAGGTCTGGACTCTAATAGACAGTTTCCGAACTCTCCTCAGTGGGGATATTTAAAACAGGGACTACCAAAGCTAATGATTGTGCCTAGAGATAACCCTAAAAGTTAATAGCATACTTTAGATATAATCAATCAGAAACAGGCGTGTTTGCTATAGAGTAAATACTGGTGTGAGGGGGAAATGGACCTCACGCTCAGGAGAGCACGTAGTAGCCTAGTACCAATAACAGACGCCAGGGGGCAGCTGTGACTGTCGAGTACTAGAAATACTTAAAGCGACGAAGAGTGTTGTTTACGCCTACACTCGGTTCAAGATGGCTGCTGGAGACAACAGCGGTAGGCCTCCTTGCCTTAATTTCTCCGGTCCGGGTCCTTTGGGAAACAGCCAGCCCAGCAACAGCGTTTTCTCCATGCCAGCGTCCAACGGCGGAGCGGCCGGTGCGGGAGGCGGAGCACAGGGAGCGGGGAGGCGACCCAACCCGCAGCTGGGGCCTGGTGGCGGAGACAGCAACGGTGTTTCGAGCGGAGCTCAGCCGACTGCGCAGAACTCCCTGCAGCAGTCCGCTGCGGCAGGTGCTGCGGCAGCCGGAGTAATGGCCACCCCGGCGTCCAACATGGCAGCCACCGCAGCGTCAAACGCGTCGGCGTCGGGAGCACCGAGCGCCACTCCGGCAGCTGCCTCTGTGCTGGTGTACCGAGAGCCGGTGTACAACTGGCAGGCGACGAAGAGCACCGTCAAGGAGAGGTTTGCGTTCCTCTTCAACAACGAAGTGCTCAGTGACGTTCATTTTCTAGTGGGCAAAGGAATGGGGGTTCAGAGGATACCTGCGCACAGGTAACGTAAATAAGCTTTTTTTTCTTTAAATATGAGCTAGCTAACTGTGAATCTGAAAAGCGAAAAGGCTTCTTTTTCTTTGCTGCTGCTGATTGTTGACGTTGTCAGGTTTGTTCTGGCCGTGGGGAGCGCAGTGTTTGATGCCATGTTCAACGGTGGGATGGCGACGACCTCAACGGAGATAGAGCTTCCTGATGTGGAGCCAGCTGCCTTTCTGGCCCTGCTAAAGTAAGCAGTGTGTGAGGGCGAGGGCGTGCCACTTAAACTGGTGATTAGGCTGTCCTGAAAGTGGGCGTGTTTTTTAAAACATGTTTTATTTGTCATCAGAATTTGCGGGTGAAACACAGCTCAGACAATGCAACATACAATATGTATATGTATTTATCACATGATTAGAATTAATCAAGCATACAAGTCAATACATTTGAAGTGGCGATGTCTGATATAACTTGTGGTCCTGCTGCAGGTTTCTCTACTCTGATGAAGTCCAGATCGGGCCTGAGACGGTGATGACCACGCTATATACAGCTAAAAAGTACGCAGTGCCGGCACTGGAGGCTCACTGTGTGGAGTTCCTCAAGAAGAACCTGAGAGCAGACAATGCTTTCATGCTGCTCACACAGGTCTGCTGCTTCACCCCCCCCCCAGCAATGACTGTAGACCAGTTCCTGCATGTGACTTGACGTAAAAATGTTTCTTTAACCGGCGGGGTGTTCATCGTTTCAGGCACGGTTGTTTGACGAGCCTCAGCTTGCCAGCCTTTGTCTAGAGAACATTGATAAGAACACTGGGGATGCTCTCGCCGCTGAAGGCTTTACGGACATAGATTTGGGTAATGTCCCCCTGTGAGTGTCATTATTGCCACGTGTTGTTTTTCAGAATAACGGCCTAACTGACCATTGAGTTTTCCTCTCTCCCTCTCTTAGATACATTGGTGGCGGTGTTGGAGCGGGACACTCTCGGGGTGAGGGAGGTGCGTTTGTTCGCTGCGTCGGTGCGCTGGGCAGATGCGGAGACTCACAGACAGCAGCTGCAGCCAACGCCCGAGAACAAACGCAAAGTGCTGGGCAAAGCTCTCACGCTCATCCGCTTCCCTCTCATGACCATTGAGGAGTTCGCTGCAGGTGAACAGAAACGCAATGAAACTGTAGCTTTACACACACACACACACACATCCTGTGCATCTGAGCCTGACCCTTGTCTTCGGGTCTTGTTGTCGGCCCGTCAGGTCCAGCCCAGTCGAATATTCTGACTGACAGAGAGGTGGTGAGCCTCTTCCTTCACTTCACTGTGAACCCGAAGCCTCGCGTTGAATTCATTGATCGGCCTCGCTGCTGCCTCCGCGGGAAGGAGTGCAGCATCACGCGCTTTGGGCAGGTGGAGAGCCGCTGGGGTTACAGCGGGACGAGCGACCGCATACGGTGAGTGAGGAGCAGACCATCTTAAAAAGATAATTACATCTTACTCTGTCAATCAATGCCTCTGTAAATATTTAGTTATTGTGTATGAACTAAAAATACGTAGTCAACCATTGTACATACATCTCTATAGCTATCATTCCCTCTCCCCTCTTGATGTGTTCCCGTTGTGTTTTCCCTCTCAGGTTCTCAGTAAACAGAAGGATATTTGTGGTTGGGTTCGGTCTCTACGGCTCAATACACGGACCCACAGACTACCAAGTTAACATACAGGTGTGGAGCCTGAACCCTTCAGAAAGTTTGTGTCTGGTTTCACTGTACGTTGGAGGCATGCACTATAACATATTTTGGACGTTTGTGTCTCAATGCAGATCATTCACACAGACAGCAACACGGTGCTGGGCCAGAATGATACAGGCTTCAGCTGTGACGGGTCAGCCAACACCTTCAGAGTCATGTTCAAAGAACCGGTGGAGATATTACCCAACGTCAACTACACTGCCTGTTCTACACTGAAGGTCCGTGATGTGTTGGTGATAATACCACATACACATGCAGCACTACGCTTTTTAGGAGTACATTCCAGTCTAGGAAAAGATGCATGTTTGTTTTCTAGGGCTGCAACTGATTATTATTTAGCGTTATCATTTGGTTGATCAATTGTCAAAAGCTAGTCTTTAAATGGCTTTTTTGGCTTGACCAACAGTGCACAAATCTAAATATATTTAAATGTACTCTCATTAAAAGAAAACTGAGAAGCTTGACTTAATAGTAATGAAATAATAATTAGTTGATTGAGTAATCGATTAATTGACAAAGCATTTCAGCTGTAGTTTCTTTTCCCCCTTTATGGACATTTTTAGAATATCTAATCTGTCACTATGCAGCGCTGGCGTTACCAGTTTATTCCACCTCTCTGTCTGTCTGTCTTGCAGGGCCCAGACTCTCATTATGGGACTAAGGGAATGCGAAAGGTAACGCACGAGTCATCGTCCACTGGCACAAAGACGTGTTTCACTTTCTGCTACGCGGCGGGCAACAACAACGGCACGTCTGTAGAGGACGGACAGATTCCTGAGGTCATCTTCTACACATAGTCACCTCCTGACATTGCAACGATCTTCCATCAAATGTGACAACCTGACACCAGCGCGGGGCCGCACCTCAGCAGCCGTCTCTCAGACATCATACTGTTCTCCCCCCCC